AGTGGCGGGGCGGGCTTCGTTACCGTGCGGAGGAGGGGGAGGGGAGCGCTGACTCACCCACCGCGTCACTGCTGGTGTGGGGGGGGGCTTTGCGCAACATGTCACAATATAAATACAGTGTGAGGGCAAAATGCATTTTTTTTGTCTTATAGCAGGTAATTTTAAAGGAATATCAGCCTCAGTACCAAGGGACTCTTATCTTATCACACTTTACAGTCAGTCAGTCAAGATAAGTCTTCAAGTTGAGAATTTGAAACTGTAATTATTGATATGGGAAGAGTAATGTTAACAGATGGCTGTAATCTTTTACACTAGATATTATATTTTGAGATTCAACAGTGAAAGTTTTGCATGATTATTAAATTGTAACAATTCAAATATGTAGCAGTATTCTGCTTGTAATGGATGTGGAAAATGGATCCATTTTACTGAAATTCATTTTATCATATCCCACAATTCAGTGACTATAATTAGTTAATATTTTGAATCACCTGACAATGATCTGTAAAGCTCAAAACATGTAGTGGTATAAACTACAACCACAATAAATTAATCCTGATACTGCAGTCTTTTTCAATATTAGAGTCAATTTTTACCGACTACACAACACGTTTTTATTATTATTACGCTACATGTTTCGACCTCAAGAGGTCATCCTCACGTGTACAAACAACTGTGTAATTACACGCAATCACATTCGTTTTTCCACTTATTCGACTCTGTATCTTATCCAGGCTTACGCTCAATGATATATCAAGCTCTTATTATAAAACACAAGTTAAAATATTATTCTAAATGTTAAATTTAAAAATTTTTTAAATTTTGTGAATCGAAGTTCGACAATTAAAGCTACAGTCTTTTTCTTTTGTTTTGTTAAGGCATTGTTATATAGACGGCCGCTATATACCATGTCGTCCACATACTTTTACACTCTCCTTTAAAATTGAGGAACATTTTTGTTGTTGGTTTTAACGGGCTTTTCAGTAGCTAGAGTTTGACATCACTTCGTATACTTGAAATAGATTTTACTAATCAGTGCTGGAAAAAATGTATTTATTTATTTATGGTTTGACAGTATGTAGGGTCAAGAATTTTCTCTTTTCCAAATCAACCAGACTGGTTCTGGGTTGCATCCATCCATCTTATCCAGTTGGTACTGACTGCTTTTTCCCCAGGGGTAAAATGGGTGGGGCATAAAGCTGACCACTCCAACTGATGTTAAGGGCAAGTAAATGTGGATCTATACATCCACTCCCTCATATGTCTTCATGGCGTAGTGCATAATTAGTTAAGTACAGGGGCAGTTTCACCTTTTTAGTTAATGATGTGGTCAGTAACTCAGGTATACAGCATGAAATTATTGGATGACCACTGTATAATAAATTGGAGAGGATGTGGAATTGATCTGTTGTGGCCCAATTATGGATACAATGACAATATTTTCTTGGAGCAACTCAAGAGAACTGCAGAAGACCTCAGTCAAGATGTCCAGTACCCAGGCTGATATTTAAACTCAGCACCTTCTGCATACAGAGCAAGAATGCTTGGCAACAAACCATTATTTTTTGTCATAAAAAACTGCTATGTTCAGTCGTGAGTTGATCACTTGGTTCGGTTGTGTGATGCAAAATTTTATTCTATCACTAGCCACTATCTCCATGGCCTTGGGGCATTTATAGTTCAGACTGTGGACTGTGATAATGTAAATTGTATATGTCCCATTTGATATCGATAAGCCTTGGATACAAGGTATCACAAAACATCTTCAGAAATGTTATTGTATGTCTGTTAGAGATAACAAGACGCTTGGATACTCTCCGTGTACTCTGCTTGCAAACGTAACTGAGGAACTGCCATTCTCAGCAGGGACAGGGATTTCGCTGTTTTCCACAGTGTCCAAACTGACTCTGGGCCTTACTGAGCCTCCTGTGCAGCCTTTTGCCAGAGATAAAGGAGGCCAGGCAGGAAGCTGACCCCACATCTCCATCTAATGTTGAGGTTCAGAATGTCTCCAGTCCCTGATATATGTTCAGGGTGTGGTGCTTAAGTAAACACAGACAACTTAATGACACTGATGTACAGATCTAGACAAGATCATGAAATTTGATGGAAAGAGATTATAAACATGTCTTTGGAAGTTCTTGTGTACTTCTAGCCAAATGACTGGGGTTTGATTCCTGGCAGGGACATGGATCTTTCTCTTTATGACATCTGAACCAGATCCACTGCCCACCCAGCATCCCGTATGATGCAGAGGGGTATCATGGCTGGATCATGAAGCTTGCCGTTCTCCTCCATCTAACGCCAAGCTTAAGAATGGGAGAAGCTGTACCTCTGCTCATTCTGACATTATTTTTAAGTTAATGATAGGAATAAATTTGTCTCTCTTGTTTTTTCCCTTTGGTTATAAAGTTGAAAGTTACAATGAACTTAGATGAAGCAGCATGGATTTGCAAAGTTTGGTGTACGTATCCTATGCAAAGAATCATAAAATAGTTCATACATAAGTAAGTTGGTAATGCAGATAAAATTATACTGGCTTTGGGTAGGGTCCAGTTGATGCTTCTTATCTTAGTAGTGAGGTAAAGGTGAAAAAGGTAAAGTTGTTCTTGTGCTTAATTAATTAAACATGATTCAGTATCATGGAGTGCTGGTATAACTCCATTCATTCCTAACCTCAGCACTAGATGGAGACGAGTAGTCAGTTTGATGTGGTCACTTTATCCTTGGGAATCAGCCCCCAGAATACATTGTGTAGGAGGCTGGGTGGGCCCGGTTATTGCTTTAGATACTGCAAAGAAAAGAATGATCTCTTTCCTCAGCTCAGAATCAAACCCCAATTCATTGGTTGTCCAGATCAGAGCCTAGTCACTGTACTGACTGAGCTGCGCAGTAATAAGCTTACCACATTTATGATGTTCATATCCATCCCTTATATCTCCCACTTTCCTGAAGATATTGTACATTATCAGTTCCTTAAAAGTTTTTCTATAAAGTTCTCATGAAGATCCAAACCTTTATTGGAAACGCTTTGTGGTACCTGTAGGATAATTAGATATGGAGTAAGAAATTAAACAGCGAACCTGGAAGATGAGTTTTCTCAATTGAAATTCATTTTTCTGGTATTGTTCAGTTGAATAGCCCTCTTGCTAAGTGGTGAAGTGAGACTGGAGGTTCTTATTGCAGTGAATATCAGGAATGTGACGCCAGGCAGTGTGGTAGAAAGGTACCAGTATCCATCTTCATGGTAGGAAAGTAAACCATGTGTAAAACCAAGGATACAGATGCAGAGAGAAAGAAGGAGGGAAAGAAACTGGACTGTGACTTGGCTGATAAGAGACACTAGTCTCCAAATGGGCATTTTAAGGGCCAACATTTACCATTGGCCCACTTGCACCCCCATCTACTTTCTGCCTTTCCTTAAATCTGTACTGTTATTTTCCCACACAGCTTACTTTTATACCCTAAAGATGGAAGCAGTGGGTTTCTCCATAGTGCTGGTACCTTTCCGCCAGACTAAATGGTGCCACATCCCAGAGACAATAATCTTCTGACATTGAAGTGTTTGCTTTACTATTGAGGCATGTTGCAGCAGAATCGGCTGGGCCACTGTTTCAGGACTGTGTCGGCTGTACAGGCTTTGCTGTCATGTGTGACAGGCACAGTTGTCTGTGTCTGGTCATGCACTCGCAACTTCCTTCGCTCCTCACACTTCATGTCAGAAGCGTATGCTTGGTTTGGGGCAGCATACTTCTTCTATGACATCTGGTCCATGTACCGAGTACACAGCAGCCATGACAGGAATTATCATGGCTGTCGCTTGGCTCGACTCAAGGATTACCTCACCAAACAGCCGGTCATCGTGCTTCATCACTTGTTCATAGGTTCCTTTGGATTCTTAGTCATAGTGGTGAGTTAAAATGATGTATCACAAGCTGAAGTGTGTGCTTGCGTTCCCCAGTTAATATAAATGGATTCTACTAGTGTCATGTTGTGGTATTATTCTGTGAGACAGAACTGGCAAAAATACATTGAAATGAATTATGTTAAATGGGCTATATAAGAATATCAGTAAAACCATACATTTTTAATATAGTGTCAATTAGAAGTCATATCCAATTTGTATAATAACTGTAGGTAAAGGTGTAGCTACCCCTGTAACAGACCATGAAGATCTATAGGGTTGTGAGACATCAAGGCTCCCACATTTTCTCTAGACGGCGGTGAGGTTGCCAGCCTTATGTGCCAGCTGCCCTTTACTTCCCAGGAAGGTTCTTGGTACTCATTTCTGTTAAGAGGCTGAATCAACCCCAGGGCCATAGTGCAGCTGGAAGGATTAGGTAAATTGAAAAAGAAACCCACTTCATCAGGACTCAAACCCGCAACATCCAGCTTGTAGCATAGTGCCTCAACCAACTGTGCTAACATGTGCCCCATAATACAACTGTAGGCACTAAATTGATTTTAACATATCTCAGAAAATAACTAAATTTTAGATCTAAAGTTTTTAATTTGATTTGATTTAAATTTTAAAATTTAACCTGAAAACTTGGTTATTAATATAATTGAGCATCATATTTTACCAAAACTTGTGAGAAATATTAGTGGTAGTAATACTAGTATAGTGAAAATTTGTGTGTGAGAAACCTAAAATTAAATGGAAATATAAAAATTACAAATTACCATTTTCTTCACAAATCGTTGCCATGCGGACCCATGTTCATAAGAACTTTTTGACTCAAAATGATCCTAAGAGCACATAGTTCACTTTCAACGTATGGCCTGCTGATGGCCGAACATAAGCCATCAACATATCAGCATATAATCACCCTAAGCAGGACAGTGTTTGTTTTAATGTTTGTCAATTTGTTAGTTGTTTTCATGGAAAGCAAGAAAGCAAGTGCAAAACTGATCTCATTTAATTATGATTGGGAGCTGTAAACAACAATGGAAGGTATGTTTCAGTTGGTTTTACGTTGTCATCACAGTGTTGACCATTGGCAAAAAAAATTACATCTGGACTAGAAAGCAGAACCTCTTATTCTGTGAAGCTGTTTTTCTAAAGCGTTTTGAATTCACAGTGTGCATATTCAGTGAAATCACAATTTCAGTGTCTGTCTGAGTGTATCGATGGAAGCTGTAGCTAGAGATGCAAATTGTCATATTGTATCATTTAATTTCCAGCAGATGTTCATTTAGTAGCGTGTCTAAAATAAAGTTTGTGTACAACAGTTTTTGTTGCGTATCAACAATGTAATAGAGTAAATCTCTTCTGTGTTTGCAGTACCTGCGGGGTGGTTTGGGCGACTGTGTGTTTGGGTTCGTGTACCTCATGGAGTTGAGCACCCCCTTTGTTTCATTCCGTGGGATCCTCAGCAGGCTGAAGGTGAGTCTGTGTCCACTGCATTTGCTGTGAGTGGTGTCTTGTCTAAACGGTATTGTCATTCAATCTCTGACAATGTTTCAGATGAAATCATCGCAATTGTACGTCATCAATGGCCTGGTGATGCTAGTCACATTTTTCTTCTGTCGTGTGGTGATGTTCCCTTATGTCTTCTACCTGTATAGTCGGCTAGTTGGACTGTCATACTGGGAGGTGAGGTTATCCTTTTTGCTGGGCATTTTGACACTTTTCTTGCATGATATTGTTATACCTATTTCTGACCCTTTTCATCATTTTGAATGCATTATTAATATTTACCATCTACTTGCTGGGCCTGTTACAACTTCACTAGAATATGAACTGAAAAATGGGTGTGGACAAGATGGTAACTATGAAAATTTCAGGGAAAATGATCACAGATGTTAGAATGAGAGATAATGACACATTTATTAGGGTGGTGGGCAGATTGCTTCATTTTGAAAATGAAATAAATTTATAAGACAGAATCAGCAGATATCGATTGAAGAATACAGATTAGTTCCTGATTTTATAAAATTGTGAGACCTCAAAACAATGCAGAAAAGCAACCTCTAAAAACCCATATAAAAATGTTATGCTGAATTGTGGATCTTTACATAGAGAAACAAAATCCACACAATGAATATGATTTTTTTACTGGGGAGAAAATGGGAGGGGATATAATTACAAATGGATTTTTTATTTATTTATTTATTTATAGAAAATATGTTGTAACTCAGAATGGTTTCACAAATTATTGATTTAAGCCGATGCATCGGTTTGCAAGGACTTTGTTCGTTGGCTAGGTTTGTTGCATAAAATTTTCACTTTCCTTTCTATCTTAATTTCATGTCTGTTCATGCTTTATTGCAACTTTTATTATATATTTTCCTGTTATCTCCCATTGACATAGCTATAGTTAACTGAGATGGGCTGTCCAGTGATTGAGGTTAGCTCTTTGTAAGGGACCCAGCAGAGGAGTTGTTTCTCTCTCACCTGAGGACGGAAACAGATCTGGTTTCAGAAACATCGTCTTTTCTAGTTATTAGAATACCAGAAAATGGAGAAAGAATGAGGATAGTGAGAAGGGCATTGGAATTAAAATTTAAAGAAGAGAGACATATGGGATGATGAACCAGTATGAGATGGTTTAGCCATGAAATGAAATAAACTGAAGTAAGGGAGATTGTGAGAAGGAAGAAGCAGTTGGAGACTGTTTTGTCTCTTGATCTGTATAAAATTGAAACCGCACAATTATGATTGAGCGTAGTTGACGATAAAAGAGAAATATAGTTCTCCTTCATGCAGCCCTGTTTTAATTACTTCCTCACTGCACATAAAATGTAGCCCTGTTGTGATATATCCCTAATGCTTTTGGGAAGTAAAGATGGAGGCTGTAGATTCCTCCAGAATGTTGGAAACTATTAACCAGACTACTTGGTGTCACAACACATTTCATATTCACCTCCTGAGAACCTCAAATCATACATACCTTGTGCTTGTTTCCAGGCCCTGTGGTCAGTTCCAGTTGGGTGTAAAGTTGGTGTGAGTGTTCTCTTGTTGCCACAGTGCTACTGGTTCAGCTTGATGCTATATGGAGCCATACGTGTGTTCACCCGTCGCAGACGTTCTGCCAGCATTGCAAAGCATGCCCGCCTGAGTTGATCAGGTTGGTGGGCTTGATGAGGTGCAGAATTACATCAGCAGAGTCAATTACTTTGCACAATATTCTTTTGCATCTTTTTAGTTCCTGATTATATTTTCCTTGAATGAGATATTTTTCAAATTTTCATGATGAGCAACAAGAAACCTAAGACTATGCCGAACTTAATATTGTATGCAAGCAAGCATCTAATAGTCATTAATCTACGTGATAGTGGTCAATGTAGGCTTCAGTATTATTTTTCCGTTTTGTGATAATGGCAGGGTTGAGAATATTTGTGCTGCTGTTGTCTTATTTTGTTGTTGTTGTTCTTGTTGTTGATGTTGTTCATATTGTTAGGTTATATTGAAACAAACTGGACAATCATACATAGCACTGAGGTGCTGGATTGCAGTCGATGCTTCCAGCCCGTTAGTGTCCTTCCAGTCCCAACAGAATTATGATAGACTAAGTAATAAAGTTTTGCGGGGAAACAATCAATGTAGCTTCTATCGTTAGTAAAGTCCTAGTCATTTGAGGGCATCACTTGTCACATGTTAGGGTTATAATTTGTCATATTTAAGATGATTTTCTTTAGAATCAATATGTGGGGTGACCAACATCAGTGTTCTGTTTGTCTGCCACTTTAACATTCATGGTCTTCCTGTTTGGTCTTCTTGCATGATAGTACCTCATGTAACAATGTAATACAGTCATTGCATTGTGTGAGAGTAACTGAACCCATTGGCTTATACAGGGAAATGACAGAATTTTATTGTCTCCAATTGACAAACAAAATCAGATGGTATAGTAGGATTTATATTGTGGAGCAGGGCTTCCCAACCCACTTCATGCAGCCCTGTCAATTTTGTGTGGACTGCAAGTGTGTCCCACCACTCCCCAAAATGTATGTAAAATCTTCCCCCCATTTTACAGATCCTTTCAGAAAACTAGACGGACTTTGTGGTCAGTAAATAATGTGTGCAGCTTTTGGTTGACTTCATGTGACACTGATTAATAATTTAGAAAAGTATGGAATTAGTATAACTCTGTGATTGTAAGCATTGTTGGTGCAATGATACTTAAGCACCATTGAACTGGAACATTTAGTTTAATGTTGTTTCTAACCTTATGGGTTCAGTTCTTATTTGTGTACTTGTGCTTCATGGATTTTATCAATCTGTAGCAACATAATGGGAAATTTTTCTTTTTATATAAAGCAGCATGTGGACAAGTACCTCATGTAAAATGGAGCCCCTCATTGTTTGATGTTGGACAGCCTGCTGCAGTATGCAATGAATAACAGTAGTACGTGTATATAAGGTTCCATCGAACGAAGCTGCATATATATATATATGCACTAATTGTATATGCCTTCTTTATTACTCAACATATTTCAGTCTTATATAAATTGTTTCACCTCCAACAACATCCTCAATAAACAAGATTCACAGTGACTACTTGTACTGCACAAAACTGAAACAGAGAAAACAGTGGAATAGAAAACCCGCCACATGCATGATAACAGAGTGGAAATAAGAACTGTACGTATCACAGTGCACATTACAGCCACGCAGAAAAAAGATTATTAAAGCAATAGCACAGATTGCACTACACATATTATCATGTCTTAGTGACTAGACACAGGGCTTGGATTGGTAATTAAATCTGTTGAACACTTACAAATCATAACTACAAGTAATTATAACATTGTCATTAATTCAACTTTCTGCTTCTCACCACAGCCCATGCTAAGTCTTCACTATCCGTTGCTTGGCAATAGATCCCAACAGTGGGCATTCCTCCACTTTGTGTTGTCCTCACTGGATGATCACTGGCTTGCAGCTAACTAATTGCTCCAGCTGCCGACTCTCAACTGTCTTAACTAGCCCCGTTGGTTTTTGTTATATAGCCTCAGATCAGACTGCTTTGCCTAGCAGTGGCCCAGTAGTTCCTCTGTTGTGACTTGTTTATTCATGGTTGTGGAATTATGTTTACCAGTCGCTGCCTGTAATGGCCTTCAGCCCTTATGTTACAATATAATATTCAGTGCCGTGCCATAAAGAACACAGGTAGCAATGCAGTTCTCCCCCCCCCCCTTCATGCTCACATCTAAGTGAATCATCTGTGAAACTTGAATAAACAATGGGATAACGCAGACAGATTTATACATTTTAATGTTTTAAATTAAAAAACATTCCGACATTTAACATAATATAGTAGAACCAGCATAATCAACATAGATTTATGTCGATTATGTTGGTTCTATTGCATTATGTTAACCACAAGAGAATCACACATGGATAAAGCCAAAAATATATACATTGGCCATTGTACCAGTTATACATTACTTTTTGTAAGTACCCTGTTCATACCTAGATAAACCAGAACATGCTGTATGATAAAGGTATATACAATTAGTGCAATTATACATAGTTGTGTTTGACAAGCCTTCATGTGCTAGTAGTTGATGGTCCAATGCAGCAATTCAGGAACATGATTTCCTCTTGACAGGAAGTATGATTTAATGTATTCTTGCCATAATTTTACACAAAAGACGAAAAGTTGCCACGATAAAAAGAATTAAGAAACAGAACTAGTATTCTTGGGAAGAAAGAAAACCAAAAATAGTAAGCTAAAGGGTTAAGGAGTTAAGGTTTCTGAGCATAAGCTTTTGCAGTAGTACTTACACTGTACATCACAAGAGCCTGAGGACATTCATCACTGGCAATATTTCTGTAATGTTGGCCTGAATGTTACAAACAGCACTGCATTACTCTGACACATTTTGGACATTTTCCATCAATTTTCCATCATGTCATTTTGGTTAAAGAAATATGTTTCAGAAGCTGGCTTTGCTTCCATCACCAGGTGAAAGTACTGAAAGCTACCTGCCCCATCTGGGCATAGAGATTAGTTCCATTTACTGGACCCAACAGTTCCATCTGGTGGACACATTAGAATATGTTTCATATTTGTACCCCTTGGCAGAAGCAGAGCCAGCTTGCAAAATATCTCTTTCTTTACCCTAAAACGAGATAATGGAAAATGTCCAAAGTAAATGTCAGTTTAATAATATATGAAGAAAGCAATCTTCTGGGATTTGTCACCGTGTATATGTGGTGTTAACCGACGTTTCGGAGGAACGTATCGCCTCCATCTTCAGGGTGAGAACCGGTAAAAGCAGACTGGTGCAGACCAGTCTGCTTTTACTGATTCTCACAGTCTCTTCGCTTGCAGATTTCTTATATTTTCCTTCTACCCTGAAGATGGAGGCGATACGTTCCTCCAAAATGTCAGTAAACACCACATATAAACGGTGCCAAATCCCAGAAGACTGCTTTCTTCATAGTCACCGCCATGAAAGCCTCAAATCTTACTTAATAATGTATGTTTGTCACAAATCTTTGGACAACATTGCGCATATCTTGGCAAGTGAGAATGTGAGAAGATATTCAGTTTGCTAAGGGTGGAAGCAAAGAATAATGAGCGATTTCAGCTTCAGTAAATTGTCAGGACACTGGATGAAGGGGTAATGAACATGTAGACAGTATTAATTACAGTGAAATCTCTGTTGGCCTCATGTGAATCCACTTAGACCTAGCCAACAAGCAATGGCCAACTTACAGAAACAAAGAGTTAGAACTTCCGCTTTTGTGTCTGTATCAACCACATACTTAACTGTTGTCTTGTATTACATTTGCAACCATGTTAAGCTTCTTGAAGCACTTTGTTTTGTTTCTGACCCTGTGACAGCTGGGCAGACCACAAACTGAATGTCAGATTAATGGGTCAGAAGTGCATGTGAAAGAGATACTTGTGAATATTCTTGACCAGTAAAAAATTAAACATACAGCAAACCTATGGTAAAATGAACAGAAAGGAATGCACAGTTTAGTGGATTATTAACTACCAGTCACAAATAAATGGCAGAAAGGGTGTTTAGCAGGTACATCCAAAGGATGAATGTGTAGAGAGATTTTCATTTGCACAGATTGGTACATTTACTGTGTGGCAAAAACATAAATGTTGAAATACATACAGAACCATGGCATGAAATGTAAGAAGGTTGACAAGACAAAGGAAGATAGTCATGTGTGAATTACTTGAGTTTATCAGTTCTTTAAAAACATGGCCAGTTATGTCTTAAGGAGACAACCAATTTCACAGGTTTCACTGTACACCATCTGTTGTGAACAAGACCTCGAGGAGTGTATTCTCGTAACGTCACTTTATTACTCTATACCAGGCATGTCCAATGCGTCAATCACAGGACGATTTTTGGTCAATCTCATAGGCCTATAAGGAAATTATATGTGAAAAGCATGTAAATTCACTTGTAATATAATATAATTATATTAAGATTTTGAAGGGAAAATATGTATTAAAGTAGTCTGTACTTTCACTGTATGTTGCTTTTACAACAAACATCATGTGTTTTTACCAATATTTTTGCTTAAAGCGAGGTATGATGATAGGAGGGAGTGGTAGATCACTGGCAGTTTTGACACTTAAAAGTCAATCACAACCTGTTTGAAGTTGGACATGCCTGCTCTATGCCATGACTACCATTCAACGTAACTATAACACAAAATGTTGACCTGGTCATTTCACAGTCACTCCTTCGTATTATCAACTCTCACTATACTGTAGAACAGTCGAACTCTCCGTGCTGTCCTCCACTGTCTTCTGTCTGACTTCACAATCCGTGCTCTCACGCCTTCTCTTGCATTGCTCTCTGGCTGCCCTTTGTCTTGGCACACTGTACACACACTCTACTAACACTGGCTCACACACCGCTCAGCTGGCCTCTTATATCGTTCTGTTGCCACGTAGTAACCACGGTGCCCCTGTTATGTCACCGCAGGGGGTGGGGGCAGGGGCGGAGTGTATACTGGCCTGTTACCATAGCAGTGGCAGCGGATCTATGCTGTTACGTCACCACGGCAGTGCCTAACACAGCTGCTCTGCTGTTACGTCACCGCTGGCAATGTGTGTTACCACATCGCGCAGAGACCATGATCCTCAACACCCTCCTTACTATGGGTCTGCAGCCCAAATCAGGACTTGACCTCTTCTATTCTTCACTTCCATTGTTCTCTGTTCATAGTACGGCTGAGTTCTGACAAGTGTGACATCATCATACCATGCAGTCTTCCCATATTTTCATGTGTTTCTCTGCGGGCTTACACCCTTCAGACTTCCCTCCGAGTATTTTCTTTGGTATACGAAGTTCTTCCATTCACTGTACATGACGAGCCCACTGTAATTACTGAATTAGAAATGTGAGATGTGATGAGGAAGATTATAGCCACTCAGTATCTGAGCAGACAGTAGCTGCAATTCTGATGATAAAGCTTTAAATTTTGTTAGTACAGGCAACAGTGCTCCATATCAGAATGACATCTGACATAACGAGACTTGGCAATTACACGTATTCATCCAAAAGTGCTAAGGGAAGGACAAGATTATAGCAGATCAGAGGGGTGGGTTCTAAATGTCCCTTGTACTGTGACCATCGGCAGTGTTGTGCATCCTCTTTCTGAGTTTAGCCCTCTCACAATCTCATGCTTTAAATGAAGCCGAGTTCTCAGCTTAAAGGGACCTTTGCTAATTAGTTTGTCACCTAAGCACTGGAGTTAACTATGGCCATCACCATCAGTTTTTTGGGAAACTGGGTTTGAGGTTAGGGAAGAAGACATTATCATGTGATAGGGTTACCATAGACAGGGTTTGGATTGGTAATTGAATATATTGACCACATACAGATCGTAACTACAAGTAACTATAGTGCTATCACTAATTCATACACACTGCAGTTCACTGCATCACATACTGAATCCTCTCAGTCTGCTGTGTCTTCACCAGTCATTGCCTGGTGATGGTTCCAACAATGTCCTTTGCTTCTGTGCTCATGTTCTTACTGGCTGGTGACTGTCCCACAACTAATTCATTGCTCCAACTGTTCTACTTATATCATCTCAGCATGGACTGTGTAGAAAACACCATTCCTCTGTTGTGTTTGTGTCTGTTGGGATACCCGCGTGATCACTGTTCAGCAACTGCCTAGCAATGGGTCTACATACTACAATATTCTGAAATCTGACACTTGTGAGTAAGGCAAACGTGTGGAAGTATGTGGAAATAGTGCACCACATTACAGAGATTCAGAAAAGTGCATTGTGTAATTTTTGCCAAGTGGACAAAGAATTCTCCAGTATTTCGGTGATCACTTGGCCCCATGAAGCAGAGTCCCAGGTGGAGAAATCTTACTTTAGCTGGAACCTTACAGTCATGTAGGACATCAGGTCCCATAATCTTTTTTGAGGCAAGACAAATACTGAGGATGTAACTTGTCTTCTCTTTTGCAAGAAAAATGTGTACAGGATTTGCATTTAAATACAGTGAAATCCTCATTTGAGATTTCATTGGGGAACCATGAATTTGAACACTATAATGAGGAAAATCTTACGTAGAGGAAAATGAATACCAAGAGGATTCTTGCCTTTGGTTTTTGTGGCTGGAGCTTAATGTATGACTAGAGTTTTGAAATACACCACATACACTGTTGAAGGTCTTCTGACATCTAGGCAAGCACTGCAGTTGCCATCTTCAGGGTAATGTCGTGGTTGGGTTTGGAAGCCCTTATGCACCTCTGGCAGTGGGCACTAAGCAGGATGTGAAGGAATGATAGGATGAAAGAGTGAAGCAGGGTGCTGCTAATACGTGAAAACCATGTGACTGAGGAATAGAGGTGATGAAATAGTTTTGGACACCGGGTAGTCCGGAAAATATATTAGTGATCACATGCATGAATGTATGTATAAGGGGTGGGCCTTCTCGGCCCTTGCACCGCGACCTACCATGGTCTATTGTGCTTATAAATAGTGATCACATGGTTAGTATATGATGAAAAGTTGTAGCAACCATCTGGTCAGAAAAAGAGGCTGTGAAATATGTATTAACAAGCTTCAATCTCTTATATTTGACATGAATCAGGGAACATCAGATGTGGTTTCTGCTGTATAAGGCTTGTCAACCTCATCAAAATGAGAGAAAAAAAAGGTTCAGAACTTGAGAGCATATTTGAATCCCTGTTCTTCTGAGCTGGATGTGTAGTTGGTACCATCACAGAGCTTCCACTTACATGTTCTTCCTTCACATGATAACTTTCATATGGAAAGACTGTATTGTACATTTGTAATTGCACAACCAGTGCCCATAGTTTCCGTTTTGTAGGTTATTTTACTGTCTGAACTTCACATTATCAAATGATAGGATGATTTATGAATACTGAATTCAAATGGATTTGGACAGAAGTTCTCATGGCCTTATCAAGGTACTACCCCTTTCATTTGCGTGGAATGGTAAGATAAAGGCGATTTTGTTCCTGTGCTTAATTAATTAAGCACCACATCATGAAAATGTATGGAGGAGTGGAGGTATAGCTTCACCATCCTTGACCTTAGCACTAGATGGAGGTGAGTGGTCAGGTTCATTCTCTGGCCACTTTTATTTACCCCTGGTACCCATTAAATAGGAGGCTGGGTGGGCCTCATGGCCAGCCTGAACGTTGTGGAATAGAGAAAAATGTCTTGCCCATGCCAGGGATTGAACCCCCAGCTGTCCAGGCCTTTGCCATACCAGCTGAGCTATCTAGGTACAATTCAAACCAAGCATCTGCCAATACAAGTGTAAAGTGTAACTACTGGATGAAGCTACATAGTGTAGTACTCACGTCACTGTACATCTGACAAAAGAGAAGTTTTCTCAACGTCTGCTGCCATTATTCATTCACTATTATCAGCGCAACGAAATGGCATTGCATCATGTCCAAAGGAACTGTATGGCCTGCAGATACTGACAAAATTTTCTCCAGCAGTGATGCCTATGACTTGTGTTCAGGTGGTGACCAGTTTGGATCTCAGCCAGGACACCGACTCTCCTGATGGAGGCGTTTTGTGGCTGTCATCAATTTCTAGAGAAAGAGTTAGTGCTTCAGATTAGACCATGACCACTGCCTTCCGAATTTCCATTACTCATCATTATCCTACTATTTGATGCTGTATAGTCTGAGCTATTGATGTTAAGTAAATCCTAAAATAAATAAAGA